CGTCACCACTAAACCCAAGGTAATCCATATTTTCCCTACTCCGTCTTCTGGGAACTTTGTCGTTCTGCCATTGCATTGAGGTCCATGATCGATCTGAAGTTACTTTTTGTGAAGCATGTAAAGCATGTGTTTACATTTCTTTTTAATTTGCCAGAGGGCACAGGTACTCTCTAGAGAGAGGGGGGAATTGAGAGAGCACCCCCATAGGACGTGGCCTCACCCCAGTACCTTCTCTTCCATTTCTCCCTCCCGTCAGGATTTTGGGCACAGGCTCATTCACTAAGTGTCTTTCAAGAGGCTGGACCAGGACTCAAACTGCAGTGGACCATGTGGGATGAAGCCACCTTCCCCACCACCCTACTAGCAGGTCCTTTTCTTCTGCTTTTGGGCATGTGAATGTCTTATTGTTGCAGCAGCATTTGTCCAAGAGTCAGCCTTTGCTTCCCTGTGCTGCTTTCCCCCGTCACAGACCCGCTGACTGTACCCATGTGGGTCTGTTCTGGGCTCTCTGTTCCGTTTCCCTGATCCACTGTCTGTCCCCCGACCAGCAGCACACTGGTTACCATGGCTTTTAGAAAATCTCAAAGTCAGAGAACATCAGTTCTCCCGCCTTGAGCTTCTTCAACCTTGTGTTGACTATTCTGGAACTTTTGCTCTCCTTGTAAACTTTAGAGTCAGTTTGTCAATTTCCACAACATCACATGCTTGGGTTTTAATTTGTGTTTTATTAAGTCCATATATCAAGTTGTCAAGAACTGATATCTTAATGGGATTGAGTCTATCCATAAACATGGAACCTCTTTTCATTCATTGAGTTCTTTGATTCTTTTCATCAGAACTTTGTCGTTTTTCTCAGATAGATCTTGTGCATTTCTTGATACTTTAATAGTGAGAAAACCATTAAGTTAAATATTAATGCTAAGTATTTCATTTTGGGCATGCTAACATAAATGGTATTTTGTGATTTTGTTTGTTTGTTTTAATTTGTCATAGGGCACATATGCACCCCAGAGAGAGAGAAAGTGAGAAAGCATCCCAGTAGGGGGATGGTCATGTCTCCGTCCCTTCTCCACCTCATAATAAAATATGGATGAATCTTATCACCATAGGCACACTGCAAGTGCTGTGTGTTTTGTTTTCTCCACCATCATTGATTTGGTATTTTTGTGTGTGTTGCGTGCCAAGGATTACCTTGAAGCATTTTTGCAAAGGTTCCAGTCTCACTTTGAATATTTTTCCTTCTACCTTTTGACTTTTTTTTTTTGGAGAGATTTTTGCTCTAGGATGCTTGTGCTCACCAGAAAGAAAGAGACAGACAAAGAGACAGAAAGCTAGAAATCACCCCCAGGGTGGACGGCCACACTGCAATCCCTTCTTCTCCATGCTCCCCTCGGGACCTTGGGCACACGTGCATACACACCTGGCGTGAGTTTAAGCCAACGGGTCCGGGACTCGAGCTATAGTTGACTACATGGGAGTCCAGCAACATAGCTATTACGCCAAATGCTGGCCCTGCTACCTTTCGACTTCTAAGGAATACAATGACTTGAAGAAGGGAAACAGAAGACATCAGAAGTTAAATAAGCAGACAACCATTCACCTTTTAAAATTTTTATTGTGTGTTTATTTCATGGTGAGGGGGAGTACTCCCATAGTCTACACTGCAGTCTTCCCCAGGATCAGGGGCTGCACACCTGGTGCACACAGGACAACCCAGGAGCCGAGCTACAGTCTTCCATGTGGCTTCCAGGGCCACAGAACAGGCTGCTGTGCTGCTGAAATGCACCATTTATCTTTAACGCCGTGGCAAAGACCCAAGGTTGTTTCCTACAGTGAAGCAGCAAATAATTAATTGCCCTTCTTCTGAAGAAAGATAAAATTAGTGCTCAGAGAGGATGGATCATACATGCCTCATTTTAAAGGAAAGAAATTTCATTTATCTTAATTCTGCTGAAGTCTCTTTTATATCTCTTCTGAGTGCTTAAAACTTGTGTTCGAAGACATGGCCCGGGGTTATGAGCTGACTTTTATGAAGAAGTCTCCCTGAAATCACTGGTTCTTAATAGCCTCAAGAGAGACGTTGCACAAGTTCTAAACATTCTGGGTTTGAGGCCAAGGTGCTGGTGGCTGTGTTCCTTTTGCAGCTGTAGTTTAAATTAGAACCACTCTAGTTTACAGCAATTCCGAATTTTAAACAGGCACATAACTTCCAAGAGAGATTAATCAGCGTCAGCTCACTTGACTCAGAGTGAATGGAGTGCAACAGATTTCAGATTTGAGACGCACCTCCGAGTGTTTCTGTAATGAAAGGCAGTCATTCTCACCGTTGTTATGTAAGGTGGAGTACACTCAGTTTAAACTTTATGTTGATGACTTTAGATAAATGTCTCCGTTTATATGCCTTCAGGCGACCGGATCTTTTTAGATGTAAGTGTGAAAACTGTGGACACTTTCCGCACTAGAACAGCACACAGATTATAGGCACTTCACTCACGTTTTGATGTGGAAAAGCAAGCTTCCTCTCCCACGCGCGAACATGGAGGTTAAGCCTCATGACCATCCTACCACACACGACCACCCTGCGTGCTCACACCCCAGGGCGCGTGAGCACCTCAGGAAGCACTGACACGTGTGGCCTCACAGCATGCAACGTCTTAGATGCCATTCGAAGACGCGTCCAGGTGCGAACCCAGAGAGCATCGTTTTCACTGTACCATCTGCATGGCCAGACGCTGCGTGCCCTGGGGGACGATTCCGGCCTCAGCGAACCCTTGCTTCTCTCTCCGGGGGCTGGACCTTTTCCGGTCCTGTTTTCTTCCCATCTTGACTGCTAACACCTTAATACTCACCCTGTGGGCTCTTCACAAAGCATTCGTCTTTTCCTCAGACCCCTAAAGACTGCAACCATTCACGAAGCTCATAATAGAGACAGAGGAGAAGGGAGGAGTATAAAGCCCTGGTTTTAAAGAGCACAAATAAAACGCATGAAAACAAGCACCGATATCTTCCTCTACTTAGGAAAAAACAGAATAAAGAAGCCAGAAAATATTTTGTGTTTACAACGCTGGGTTTACGCTGCAGGGTAACCGAGTTTTAAGTGACGTTTTGGAGTCAGACGGACATGAGTGCGTCTCGCTGTGGCCCGTTTTTCCCGGTGTACCGTGTCAGCTGCTTACTTGCTCCTGTGGAATTCCGCTTCCTGGTCTACACAGGAGTAGTAGGACCTGCTGCTAGTGCTGTCGGTATCAGACGGGACGATGGACAGGGAGCTGAAAGCACAGGGCCCCGTACAAAACAAAGGCTTAATGGCAGACAGGATTTTATTTATTCATTCATTTGTATGTTTTGCCAGTGTTCTCTGAACAGAGAGAGACAGAGAGAGAGGGAAAGTGAGAAGTCACCCTCCAGGGGGGATGGCAGTGCCAAAATCCCTTCTCTTCCATTGTCTTCTTCCAGTGCCAAAATCCTTTCTCTTCCATTGTCTTCTTGGGATTTGGGGCATACATTCAAGCCACCAGGTCCGGGACTCAAACCACAGAGTCGGCCATGTGGGATCCATGCCACCTGCAGGCCCCTAGCATTTATTGTTTATTGTTACGCATATTAACGAGAAGTTTTCACCAGTAGTATGACTTGGTTTTCATTTTGGGTTATCCGATCGGACACTTAGTTCCTCTAAAAGGAAAGAGCCCTTCCATGGCGCACTCTGGGGTAGTGGGGACACCGCTCGGGGAAGCTGGACCCCACGTGGCGACCCAGAGTCAAAGCCCCAGCTGAGTCACCCCGAAAAACGAACAGGTCCGTGCATGAGCGCCCAGGCCTGAGAGGCTGGACGGGAGGGGGGTGTGCCAGCCTGGCGAGACCCTGTGGAGGGCACTCCTTTCTCTCCCCTCTCTCTCGCAACCTATCATCAATAAAGAAAAGTGTTTTAAAAGAACAGCCCCTTCCAGCTCACTGATGACCGCAGGTAGGTCTCGTACGTTGACTGACAGCCCAGAAGTTTGAATTATGTCACTTTTGGAGGGCTGTGACAGAGACACAGATGGCAGAGTGTCAGAGGGACATGGGGTAGGTGAGAGGATAGGGACGGGGTTCCTCACGGTGAAGGGGTGGCACTTTAAGCACTAGGGGCTCGCCTGGTGACAGGTACAGCTGTGTACAGTACTGCAAGTGTGCGTGAGAGCAGCGAATCAGGTCCCAGGACACTGGTTTATTCGCGGAGCAAAAAACAGATGAATTCATTTTTTTGTGCAGTGGGTAAAAAAAGTGAATGAATGAATAATCCCAATCTGCTTCATTAAAATATGTACTTTTTATATTTTTTACAACCTCATTCCGTGAAATGGACATTGCAAGGTGGCTGGAATATCTGGGGTAAACTGAGACTGAAGCCTTCGCCTCGCGCAGTTCTGGGTAGCTGGGGGTGAAGTGGCAGCAGTCGAGCTCCCCATTCTGAGAAGCCAGACATCGTATGGGATATGGAGATTCAACTTTTTCATGTTTTCTGTCCCATTCAGAGGGAGTGGTTACCTCTCTAATTAGAGGAGAGGAGAGACAGGGAAGTCTGTCTATAACTGGACATGCGTACCGTGGAGAGACGAAGCGCAAGCAGGCGGTGTTCCGGCCACGAGCCCTGAGTCGTCTGTGCACGCGTGCCCAGAGGGGACTCCCGGGGCAGGGGGGTGATTCGCAGGACTGCGTCCCAGATGGGATCGAGAATGCCTTTGGTCACTTCATGTTTCCGCAGGATCCGGAGGCCAGCAGGACTCCTATGACTGCACATGGCGGCAGCTCGTCTCTCTCAAAGGACCTCACAGATCAGAAGGGCGGTGACCTCAGAAATCCCGCACCCCTCTGGCATTCCACTTATTATGTAAGTTTTCTGGGCTTTTGTATGTGTGAGTCTTGGTTCCCAAATAATATCCACAAGTGCTTCAGATGTGAATATTTTTGCCCTTTCCGATCTCAGGTTGGAGATCTCTTCGGGTTGCAGTATGAAAATGCTGTGGATTTTGTTCCTCATACTAGTCTGTTCTCAAGGTTCTGTGACCCAGGATTCTGGTAAGGAAAGAAAAATGGAAAGATTTCTTTTCCTTAATCTTTCTCATAGAAAATAGATACTGTATTAGCTTCACCTGCTTGAAAATTAGGAGTTCGATTTCACTTTGTTTTGACTTTGGCTGCAGTGACAGTGGAGGTGGTAGGTCAGTTTCTTTTGGAAGTTGCCCTGTGTTCCTTTGAAGATATTTGTTTCTGGACCAGGTCCCTTGTTAATGATGGAAGACGAGAAAGCCGTCATTTGCCCTCAGTTTCAAGCCCTTTCAGGTCTCCTGGGAGGTTACATGGAAATCCTGTCCATTAATATTAGATTCAGGGCCTAAAAAATGTAGAATATCTCTTTCTAATTAATTTGTGCCAAAGGTTGTCTTGGTTAGATTCCACATTTCACTCTAACTTAAGCTTTGTCTGCTTATTGTGAAGATGTGGGAGGAAGCCCCATAGCTGCTATCTACTGTCTGTCATCACTCTGTGTCCAGTGGACTTAAAGGCAGAATCAGGCCCAATATGTGCAATTCTACAGTTTTACATTGGGGGATGCTGGATTCCCGTAGTGGTCAATTCCTGCCCAGGGCCACCTATGCTGGCTTCACCTCTTCCTCGAGGACTCTGACCTCAGAAGCAAGTTTAGTGAAGAGGTCAGCTAGACTTGGTCCTACGAATGTCTTTCCGTCGCGTCTCACTGAGTCTTACTGACGCTCCTTAGGGAAGGTGATGATTCTTCCAGTCAGTTCATGGCTCAGACGTCGTGAAGGCCCTTGTCAGAGCCAGTCTGCCTCGTGCCCCAGGTTCTGCATTTCCTTTGCCCGTACAAGACAGGCGTTTCTTCCTGAAGAGCGAAGACCGGGCCCTGTCAAGCCGTCCCAAGCCAAGCTGTCCTGATTAGGGCTCGCGGACTGTCCCCACACAGGTTTCAGGGTTCTTAGAGGGAGGTGTTGTCCTCCCTTACTTACTTCTTCCCCTGAGATGCTGCTCACTACCTGATCGTGAAAGGGATCTCAGACCGATTGGAATTAAGATATCTAAAAGACAAGAAAGGGATCAGCCGATGGTGTGGACGATAGGATGGCTGGATCCACATGGACAGCGGCACAGTTCAAAGTGCAGACACAGCAGCTTGAAAATCATGCCAGGCACATGTGCACGCGTGCCCCAAGTCCCAAGAGAATGGAGGAGAAGGCATTGTGGCATGGTCATCCCCCTCCTGCGGGGGGGTGGTGGCTTCTCACTTTTCCTCTCTCTGTCTCTGTCTCTTTCTGGTGAGCACAAATGTATAGCAAAAACAAAACAAAACAGATTAATTAAAAATGTTTAAACAACATGAAAATTATTTTTCTATACTATGCTTTGATCAGACTATTGGGAAGGGAATGGAGTAACACACGGGATGCCCAAGCCGGTTTCCTAGCAATTGTAGAAAGGGAAAGATGGGAGTTATTCTAATGTGAGAGTGGGCCTTTAGCTATTGCAGATCGTCGGAACCTCAGAGTGAAAGAGGCACCTCAGGTGTTTTCTAGTTGAACCCACTTATTTAAAGGAGAGGACGCGGAAGCTCCTCTGCATGGGATGGTCGGCCACTGTTCACAGAGTCGGCCATGACACGTCAGGGCCTAATGCTCGCTCAGCTATGCCGTATTTTCTTAGACCCACACACTCACGTACTTTCTTCCCTCCTTGGACAAGAAATGGATCTTAAGAGACGACAATGGAGGTTCTGAGTCCAATTCGCCAGGCCGCTAGTAAGCAACGTTTAGGGCTAGAACACAGACATTCTGCGTCACATAAAATGTCATGTTTTGTACCTAGTGTAGAATCTAGCGTTGAATGAAGATTTCAAAGTTTAGAAAAGTATCGCGTTACTATATAAAAATTCTATTTTTCATGGAAGCTGAAACCGTCATCCCTTTTCTAACCTCTGTTTGTGGTTTTGTAGGCCCGCAGTACGCAGATGTCGTGTTTCTGGTGGACAGCTCTGACCACCTGGGAGTGAAGTCCTTCCCGTTTGTGAAAACCTTCATCACCAGGATGATCAGCAGTCTCCCCATAGAGGCCAGCAAGTACCGGGTGGCCCTGGCCCGGTACAGCGACAAGCTCTACCACGAATTCCACCTGAACACCTTCAAGAGCAGGAACCCCATGCTGAACCACCTCAAGAAGAACTTCGGGTTCATTGGCGGGTCCCTGCGGGTCGGAAACGCCCTCCGGGAGGCACATGGCACCTACTTCTCTGCGCCTGCCAATGGGAGAGACAAGAAGCTGTTCCCCCCAGTCCTGGTGGTCCTGGCTTCCGCGGAGTCCGAGGACGATGTGGAAGAGGCTGCAAAGGCCCTGCGGAAAGACGGGGTGAAAATCGTCTCCGTGGGGATCCAGAAAGCGCCTGAGGAAAACCTGAGGGCCATGGCCACGGCTCAGTTTCACTACAGCCTTCGGACGGCCAGAGACCTGAGCACGTTTTCCCAGAACATGACCCAGATCCTCGGGGAGGTGACGCGGCACCGGGAGGGAGCCGCCGACGATATTCTTGTTGAAGGTGGGCTTAGGATGCACGTATAGAACGGTGATCAAAACTTCTGAAAAACCAATCTAAGGAAAGGATTGGAGCTCTGAACATGCCTGTCAGCAAAATGAGCTGCATTTTCAGATTTGCTCAAGAAAGCCCAATGATGGTGCCCATTTCAAATCCAGTGAGCCCCAGAAAGGTTGATTTTCCATATCACACTCACCCGTCCTTCACCACTCGTGGGCTCCCTCTGCCACTAAGCGTTCCTCGAGCTCCCTCCCCAGGTGCTGGGCGCTGTGCGGTTTTATTACAGGGGCTCCTAAGGATCTTGACTCCCCAAACCACGTAAGGTAACCATAGGCTACTGGAGGTAGAAGCAGCTCGCGGGAGACCGAGCCGCATCTCTACATAGAGAAGGGTGCAGGCATCCTTGGGGTGGCTCAGCCTGGCCTGGGTCAGGCTGTAATTGGACCCTGGAGGTAGGTCAGGTCTCCAGGTTCCCAGGGCACACCGTCCGAGCCCCTCCCTGCCTCCCTCCCTGCTGCTCTGCTCTGATTTAGCCTCCGGTCTGCTGTCCCGGCCTGTCCTCTGTACCGCTCCGTAACAAGAATGGCCAAGAGTTTAGGGACGTCATTCAGGGGGCAGGACGCTGCCAGTAACAAACAAGTGGCTCACAGTGTACCTGTCCCACGGGCCGTCCAGGAAGCTCACACCTCGTGGCTAAATTAGTTTGAACGAGATGTCACGTGTGCTTATGACTGATAAAAGAGAATGCTTCTCTCGTGGTAACCCCTGACAATAGGATTCTTACTCCTAGCCTTTTTGCCAAGTAAAGTACAGCTAAATGACGTTCGGTCGCTTCCCATCACCACCCCGGGGCGTATCTGGATTAAACTGCTGGTCATAAGGGCGATGCTCCGTGACTTTAATGCGATGGCAGTCGCTCCCGTGCACTGAGTGAAGTGCGTGCCAGGCCCATGCTAGGTCCATGATCTGTTTCCTGTAACAACTCTAGACAAATACCCTACCTGACGTTTACAGATGAGGACCCGAGGCTGGGGTCCAGTTTAGCTGAGATCCGGTGTGAGCTTCGCAATGGCTTTGTATACCTCCTTTCTCCCAGTGTAGACCCAGCTGGTAACTGCCCTCCCCCCAGGGCCGCGCAGAGCCCAGCCTCCAGCTGACGCCATGCCCCTTTTTCGCCCACAGTCTGCCAGGGCCCCTCTGTGGCCGACGTCGTGTTCCTGCTGGATGTGTCCATCAACGGTAGCCAGGAGAACTTCGACTACCTCAAAGAGTTCCTGGAAGAAAGCATTTCTGCCCTGGACATAAAGGAGCATTGCATGAGGGTCGGCCTCGTGGCCTACAGCAACGTGACGAAGGTGATCAGCCCGCTGAGCGGGGGCAGGAACAAGTCGGAGGTCCTCCTGCACGTGCAGAGCCTGGCTCCCCAGGCCGGGGACGCCCACACGGGCGCTGCGCTCAGGAAGGTCAGGAAGGAGGTGTTCAGCGCCAAGAACGGCAGCAGGAAGAACCAGGGGGTGCCCCAGATCGCTGTGCTCGTGACCCACAGGGCCTCTGAGGACAACGTGACCAAGGCAGCCGCGAGCCTGCGGCGAGAGGGCGTGACCATCTTCACCATGGGCATCGAGGGGGCCAGCGACACCCAGCTGGAAAAGATCGCGTCTCACCCCGCCGAGCAGTACGTCTCCAAGCTGAAGACGTTCTCGGACCTGGCCGCTCACAACCAGACCTTCCTGAAGAAGCTGCGGAACCAGATCACACACACGGTCTCCGTGGTCCCAGAACGCACCGAGACGCTCAAGTCCGGTAAAGTCTCCTGAGAGGGGAAGACTCTCTCTCACCTCTGTGTAGCACGTGTGTCCCCCAGCTCCAGAACGTGGGCAGGCATGTGTGCGTGTGCAGTGGGGAGGGGGGTACATTGCTGATTTTCTTCTTTAGCTTAAAGATATGAAGTCCAATTTGAGAGGAAAAAAGCTACTGAGTGTCAGCTTGGAGAGGGGATCTCCTTTACTTCGTCTTCTGAGCCACGTCAAATAACCCCTCGTGCTACTTCCTGCTGTTCTCTCTGCTCGGCCTCTCGCACTCCCATCCTCTCCCCTTCCTTCTCTAGTCTGTCTGCATTTCTTCTTATCACCCCCAAATTCCAACTTAGAAAATGAAAGGAAAGTATGAATTGCATGAAGGACAGAGTAATTCATTTATTAGGAAGTATGATGTTAGTATTCATGAGTTTAGGGAGACACTGGGCATGTTTTTAACTTTTATTTTTATTTATGTATGTGTTTTACATTTTTGCCATAGGGCACATGCACTCACAGGAGAGGAACAGAGACAGGGAAAGTGAGAAATCACCCCCTAAGAAGATGGCCACATTCCAGCCCCTTCTCCTCCTGGGATTCTGGGCATGCACACACATGCGCCCGGGTGGTTTTCAAGTCACTGGGTCTGGGACTTGAATGATGGTTGGCCACGTGAGAATCCAGTGTCTCAACCTCCATGACAATTTTTAAAATCTATTTTATGTGTACACACGTATGCTATGTAAATAGTCTGGTTATGCCTCTACATATGTGTGCATATACATGCCAACATTTCCCACAAATATATGTAACATATTGACTCTAAAATGTCATTGTCTTACATACATAAAGTCACGGGCAATATCCCGAGTTTAGCTAACCAACCAAGAATGGATGGGGAGAAAACAATGCGGTCAAGATTTTGAGAGTCCGGGGCCAGCCCTGTTTCCTAGCGGTTACAGGAGCCAGATCCCACACAGCTGACCATGGCTTGAATCCTGACCCTGATGACTTGAAAAAGACACCTGGTGCACATTCGTGGATGCCCGAACTCTTGACAGGAGGAGAAGGGAAGCAGGAGGGGTTACTGTGTGGCCTCACCCTTCAGGAAGGGCTCTCCTCCTCTCTCTCGGTCTGCCTCTGTCGCTCCACCTCTCTCTTGCAAACACACCCACCCTTGGCAACAGAAAAGACTGTGTACATGTCCACAACGTGCACTTAAACCCCTCCCCTATTCACGACACACTGTTTGCCTTTTGGCTAAGCAGTTATTTACCCATGGAAGGAGTGGCATAAAGAGCAGCTTCTGGTTTCTCTGATCTTTCACTGAACCAGATGTACCCTGGTTGGTGGCAGAGAGTCAGGGTGCTAAGTGAGGGACATGGTCCTGGACCCTCCGAAGCCATGCACCTGACCAGCGACGCTGAGCGTCCTGTTCTAAGCTGGTAAAGCATGTCTTCTAAGCCTAGAAGTCCTTGCCATTTTTCTGTCTGAAGAGATTTGTGTGTCCTGTCCTTCTGCCTGCCCCGCTTTCTTCCTCGCACTTCCGTGGAAGGCCACGCTCAGCTCTGTCCCTCCCTAGGTTGTGTGGACACCGAGGAAGCGGACATCTACCTCCTCATCGATGGCTCCGGGCACACCCAGGCCACAGACTTCCAAGAAATGAAGACCTTCCTGGCAGACGTGGTGGGCATGTTCGACATCGCGCCCCACAAGGTGCGGGTCGGGGCCGTGCAGTACGCCGACAGCGGGGACTTGGAATTTGAGATCAGTAAATATTCCAACAAGCAGGACCTGGGCAAGGCCATCGAGAACATCAGGCAGATGGGTGGCGGCACGAACACGGGCGCGGCCCTGAACTTCACGCTGAGCCTGCTGCAGAGAGCAAGGCAGCAGCGAGGAAAGCAAGTGCCGTGCCACCTGGTCGTCCTGACCAGCGGCGTGTCCAGAGACAGCGTCGTGGAGCCCGCACGCAGGCTGAGGGCGCAGCACGTCCGTGTCCACGCTATTGGGGTCAAGGAGGCCAACCAGACGCAGCTGCGAGAGATGGCCGGCGAGGAGAGGAGGGTGCGCTACGTGCATGACTTCGACGCGCTGAAGGACATCAGAAACCAGGTCGTTCAGGAGATCTGCGCTGAGGAAGGTAAGAGGAGCAGGCGCCTCCCCTTCGGCTCCCGGTCTCCGATGGCCCTCCTGCAGCATCCGACGTTGCCGGTTTGGAGACACCGCCTAAATTTCTAAGCTGACATTTATTGGCTTGTGTAACTGTGCATGTTTTTCAGAACATAGCTAGGAATCTATTAGGGTGTCGTTCCAATTAATGTCGAGCAGAAGAAAGGTATCAGGAGGAATTCTCCCAAATAAATACTACTTAGTTTCTTTCCACAGGTCCCTGCCATGAGGAATGTATAATTGGGGACCAGCAGTTAGCGTAATGGCTATGTCGCTGGACTCGCATGTTGTCAACTGTGGTTCGAGTCCCGGACCCGGTGGCTTAAACTCATGCCAGGCATATGTGTGCATGCATGCCCAAGATCTCGAGAGGAGAATGGAGGAGAAGGGATTGCGGCGTGGCCATCTCCCCTCGGGGGTGATTTCTCGCTTTCTGTCTCTCCGTCTCTCTCTGTCTTTCTGGCGAGTGCACGCGCCCTACAGTGAAAATCTCTCAAAAAAAAAGAAAAATGTATGATTGGACACAATACTTGTGATATGGTCACAGGACATCAGATTTTAAGGAGTACTTAAATTTACTTTTATTATGCTTTCATATCATCTTTTTACTTATTTATTTGGGGGGGGGGGGGGTTTTTGCTATAGGGCCTTTAAGGAGTACTTAAATTTACTTTTATTATACTTTCATATCATCTTTTTACTTATTTATTTTTTGGGGGGGAGGTTTTTGCTATAGGGCGTGTGCGCTCACCAGTCGGACAGCGAGAGACAGAGAAGAAAGTGGGAAATCACCCCCGGGGAGATGGCCACACCACAATCCCTTCTCCTCCATTCTCCTCTAGGGATCTTGGGCACACACACACACATGTCTGGCATGAGTTTAAGCCACCGGGACTCAAACCACAGTCGACTACATGGGAGTCCAGCAACATAGCCATTATGCTAACTGCTGGTCCCTCCTATAATCTTTTAATGCTCATCAGTGGTTTCAACTAGCCTGACTTTGCCCTGGTGGGGATACTTGTCCAGAGACGTTTCTGATTGTCCTAACTGGGAGAGCTGAGGCAGACACTGCTGAAATCCGCCAGTGGCCGGCACTGCACAGACGGTCCAGCCCGTAACGGTGGCGGAGCAGGGGCTGAGAAACCCCGCGTTGCTGGGCTCGACGGCAGCGCAGGACTGAAACGCCGTGTGCTGCAAGGCCGACGCATCAGGAGGCTCCTGAGCACGCCCGGCTCACTCGCCGCGGTTGGGCCTGGCTAAGGCTGGGGTAGATTGCAGTATCAGGGCCTTGATGGGCATATCCAGCTCTCTGTGCCTTTCTCTCTGTCTCTCTCATTCATGAGAGACATAAACACAAGAAAAACCCTAAATGATAAAGTAAATTGCTAAACAGCCAACAAGCTGTTTCGCTGTCTGCCTTTGTGCTGTGCTTACCTGTTAGCCGTCCTCACCAAGCGCTCGCTGCATGCACAGCTTAGGGACTTCCTGTCCCCCTGATGTCTCACGTGTGCCAACTCGAGTAAACATCCAGTGTCTCCCTCGCAGCCTGCAAGGAGATGAGGGCCGACATCATGTTCCTGGTGGACAGCTCCGGCAGCATAGGGCTCGAGAACTTCAGCAAAATGAAGACATTCATGAAGAACCTGGTGAGCAAATCTCAGGTCGGAGCAGATCGGGTGCAGGTCGGCGTCGTCCAGTTCAGCCACATCAACCAAGAGGAGTTTCAGCTCGACCGATTTCTGTCCCAGGGGGAGGTCTCCGCCGCCATCGACCGCATGGCTCACATTGGAGAGACCACCCTGACCGGCAGTGCTCTGACCTTCATGTCCCAGTACTTCCGCCCCGCCAAGGGGGCCCGGCCCAACGTCAAGAAGTTCCTCATCCTCATCACGGACGGCGAGGCCCAGGACGTAGTCAAGGAGCCCGCGGCAGCCCTCCGGCAGGAAGGCGTAATCATCTACTCTGTAGGCGTGTTCGGCTCCAACGTCACCCAGCTGGAGGAGATCAGCGGGAGGCCAGAGATGGTGTTCTACGTGGAGAACTTTGACATTCTGCAGCACATCGAAGACGATCTCGTTTTTGGAATATGCAGCCCCCGTGAAGGTAGGCGTGGGTACTTTCTCTAGGTGTCTACGTTAGTCATTGTCCTTGATTAAGTAGAGCTCTCTTGGGGCATTGTAAGATTTCGTATTTGACTGTGGTGTTTATTCAAGGGGCTCTGACCTGTCGTGTTAGAGGGTAAGGAACGGCTTTTTCTCATTTGCAGACGCAGAGCTGTGGTTTAATGACCCTCTATTTAAGGAAAATGACACCTGCCGGGTCCGGGTTAAACTACCTAGGAGCAGTAGGGTCTGAGGTGGGAGTGATTTATGGAGGAGGTGATTTCAGTTGCAGAGGGAAGGACGCAGGCAGGGAACAGAAAGGAGCTGAGCAAGGCACCGTCCTAGCCGGAGCCGCTGCAGTCTGACCTCGGGGCCATTGGAGATGAGCTCCAGGAGACGGTCTGACCTGGGTGGAGGGGCTCCACGTCCTGGAACCTCACCCCAGGCTCCGTGCGGGCTGCCGGGCAGGCAAAGTGGTCTCTTGGCTTGACGTCTACTGCACGTGGATTGTTGTCGTGGGGTTTTTAATCCTGTTTTTTTATTTCTAGAGAAGAGAACAGTATTTGTATCCAATGAGATGTTTGTGAAAACACTGCTGCTTATTCAATCTTACAAAGCAGGAATAATAGTAGGGGCCTTAGACTACAATGCTTTAAAGGGGATAAATGGCCTATTCCCACCCTCTCCCCATGAAACTGCAGAATGATGGGCATGATGAAACAAACAGAAGTTCAGCAAACGTAAGAGGTGATTGATCCAGGGACCCGTCGGGCTTAAAGACAGAGGCGCCCTGAAAACCCTCACGAAGGAGATGGGGCGTGATCGTTTAAAGGAGAAGAGGAGCATTGTTTTCTTAGATAACGGCTCTGTCCAGCTCCCGCAGGCTCGGTGGTCAGCTTGTAGAAAGGGGAACACACCTGGTTTGTACTCCCTGGAAATCCCACCCAGGGCAAATACGAGCTCCCTGAGCAGTTTCCACATTGAGCAGTCTCCCCCAGCCCTCTGCCTCACCCGAGCGTGCTTACGGGCAGAGACCAGCGGGACACCCTTCCTTCGCGAGTGGGGCCAGGTTTATAGCTCTATGCGTGTGGCCTCTGTGAGTGGAAAGTGCTGGCTTTCGGGTCTTCAGCAGCCCTAGACAGAGCCAGCGGAGGACACCGGGCGAGCCCCTGGGTGGCACATCCCGAGAATGGATGAGCTAACGTTTGGACCACACCTTTCTAAGGCTTCTCTAGAGAACTAGGACCGCACAGCTAATGGCTTGTGACCCCACTTCTCCAGACTGGACGAGTTCGAGTCCGGAGCCCTGCATCCTCCGAGAAACATGCTACATGCATTTCATGTTAGCTAGGTCTTCCCTGCTCTCCTTTCCTGGCGTCTTGACCTCAGGGTTAAAAGTCAGTCAGTGCATCGTGCTAGGACCGCTGACTCGGGCCAAGGGAGAGATGGGCACGGCAATGCAAACGGCGTTTCCAGAAAGTCCGGAAGGGATAGCATGTGACCCTGAAAAATCGCCATCGCAGAACCGTGAACAAACCCAGTGCTGACAAGTTCACTTTCACTCGGTCACTTCCCCAGTGTTTATCTTAAGAATAAAATCTTAAGAGCCCTGTGGCTTTAAAAAAAAAAAAGACAAATTTCTGTAAGTGAAAGCACATGTTGAAGGAACAATTTATACAAGAGAATTTACACAGAATCGTAATTTAAAAAATTGCTATGGGCTCACGCCCTTGCCAGAGAGACAGAGAGAGAAGGAATGAGAAGGCGCCCCGGGGGAGGGCCACGCCGCAGTCCCCTCTCCCTCACTGTCCTCTCGGGAATGTTGGCACACTCGCACACGCACCTGGCAGGATTTCAATCCAGCAGACCCGGGACTCAAACCACACAACTGGCCATGTGAGACCCAGTCACGTTAACCCCCACAACACCAGCTAGCCCCCAAAACTGTGATTTACGCATCTTTTTCAGTCCAGAGCTTTTGAAATTGTGTTCCAGCTGACCCTGTGGGTGTCATTTCCCCTCCCTCTCCCTCAGAGGGTCTCGCTGCCCGCCTGCCCTGTCCCGAACTCGCTGTATGAACTCGGCTGTGAGCCCGCAGTGTGGATTGTCTGGTGGCCCGGGCGTTGACACCCTAGCACACAGCCTGGTCCCATCAGAGAAAGCGGCCCTCGGAGGAAAGCTTCGGGGACCCCGTGGTGGCAGAGCTGATCTCATGGCGTTCCCATTCCGCTCTCTTCTAGAATGCAAACGGATCGAAGTCCTGGACGTGGTGTTTGTCATCGACAGCTCGGGCAGCATTGACCACGAGGAGTACACTACCATGAAGGATTTCATGATCGGCTTAGTCAAGAAAGCTGATGTCGGCAGGAACCAGGTCCGCTTCGGGGCCCTCAAGTACGCCGATGACCCAGAGGTGCTGTTCTACCTGGATGACCTCGGCACCAAGTCAGAGGTCATCTCGGTGCTCCAGAACGACCAGCCCATGGGGGGCAACACCTACACGGCGGAGGCCCTCGGCTTCTCAGACCACATGTTCACCGAGGCCCGGGGCAGCCGCCTGCACAGGGGGGTGCCCCAGGTCCTCATTGTGATCACCGACGGGGAGTCCCACGATGCCGAGAAGCTCAACGCCACGGCCAAGGCCTTGCGGGACAAGGGCATTCTGGTCCTGGCCGTGGGGATCGCTGGTGCCAACCAGGTGGAGCTGCTGGCCATGGCAGGATCGAGGGACAAGTACTTCTTCGTGGAGACCTTCGGAGGCCTGAAGGGGATATTTTCAAATGTGTCAGACAGTGTCTGTAACTCCTCGAAAGTAGGTATGGTTTGACAGTGAAGTCTTCCTTAACTATCATCGCAGGGCCCGGTGAGGGAGGGAACCGCGGCCACAGCCCTCGGGAGCAGCTGTTCAGTGGGCTTCCCACAGTGCAGGCCCTGGGCTAGAAAGACCTCGAGGGCATTTCATTCAGCCTCCTCGCCCGCCCGAGAGAGACAGAGAGAGAGAGACCTCCCCCATCTTCCACTCCCTTCATCCTAAACTCGCAACGATGAGGAAGTCATCACTTTTGAACAAGCTTTATTTATTAGAACACGAATTAGCTTGCATGTTTTCCACCCCCTGGTTTCCTCCTACTCAGTAAGAAACCACATTTTCCTCCGAAGAACCAGCTACCATTGCCCGACGTCTCCTCTCCTCCGTGGGAGACATGTTCCCTTTCATGATGGTGCGAGCTCGCTGGAAATCCTATGGAGGGTCCTGTACCCCCCAGAGCCCTTAGGCTTTTCCTTGGCTGTTTTCTGTTTCCTGTTTTGTTTATCTCCCTTCATTTTTCCTGATATTGTACCCCTTTCAGTACTTCTCGAAGAGCTGGTCTAGTGTTGGAAATTCTTTCAGGTTTTTTTTTTTTAATCTGAGAATGATTTTATTTGTTCTTCACCATCTCAAAACCCTGTTATTCAGATATTTAGGTATTTAATGGTATCTAGCATTTCCTGTCTGCTGTCCTCATTTTTAGAGGTTATTTTTTACTCTTTTTGGTGATTTTGTCTAAGTCAGAGACTTTGTCTTCCAGCCCAGAGACTCTATCTTCTGCATGGTCTAATCTGCTGTTAATACTTTGGTGAGAGGTTTTGATTTCCCTTTACTATAGTCTTCATCTCCAGAAGTTCCTATTGGCTCTTTTTTAGGGTGTCTTACTTCCTCGGAATTCCTCCTTCAAGTTGTGGAAAGATTTACCTGTGTCCTAGAATTCCTGTCTGTTTTCTCTTGTATGCCATTTAGTTCTGTCACTGTGAATATTCCGCATTCTTTTTCTGACCTTTCTGTAAATTCCTTTGTGCTGCCTATGGTTAATGAGAAGTTAATCTGTTCCCTTGTTTTTCCATATTTCTCGTGCCTCTGCACTGGTTTCTTTTTTTTTTTTTTTTTTTTTTGCTATAGGGCGCATGCGCTCGCCAGACAGACAGAGACATAGAGACAGAAAGCGAGAAATCACCCCCCAGGGGGGATGGTCACGTCGCAATCCCTTCTCCTCCATTCTCCTCTTGGGATCTTGGGCACGCACGCACACACGCCCGGCGTGAGTTTTAAGCCACCGGGTCCGGGACGTGAACCGCGGTTGACTACGTGGGAGTCCAGCGACATAGCCATTACGCTAACTGCTGGTTCCCTGCACTGGTTTCTTGACGTTTGGTGAAGAACGTGCTTCCTTTTTTGGTATAAATTCTGTCAGGAGGGAAGACGGCTAGTTCTCAGGTGTGTTCTTGGTAGAGGGCCGTGTCTTCCACTCAGAGGATGGTGTCTGAGCTGCTCCACATCTTGGATTCCTCTCCTCCCCTCTCAAGACCAGATGTGTCTAGAGCTAGGCTGGAGAGACTGAACCGCAGGGAGGAGCACAGCACAGCTCACAGCCTGAGAGCAGTGGGATTCAAAGCACACTGAGAAGTCAGGGCACTGGTGGGAGAGCCAGAGCCGGAGCCCTGTCCAGCCCTCCAGACCGCTCACTCCCCCACCTCCTGAGCCTTTCTCCTGCACTCACCGGTGGAACTCCCAGAGACAGAGGCCAGGGTGCAGGGCGGGAGGGGTCTAGAGCACACACCAGGAGGTCAGGATGTGCAGGGGAGGGTCTGGGCTGGAGTCCTGGTGCAGCCCCTCCAGAGCAGCTCTCTCCCCCACCTCCCCCACCTGCAGGGTGCCGCACTCACGGGGGAATCTGGGAGCTGTATTTCTTTCCATACCCTCCTTGTTCATCTGGACTACAGGAATCTCAGACACCTTTAATCTCCTCTGAGACCACAACGAGAATTAGTAGTTAGATCAGCAGCAGGAGCTCTGGAGAATTCAAAGAAATGATCATGCTTACCAGAAAGCAAAGAGACACGTGAGTTTGTGCCGAGCATAGCTCTGCAGGCGATGGCCTCCTACTGTCTGTTTCAGACTTGCCGTGTTACGGCGAGGGAGGCTTCTCTGAATGTATCACATCGTTCCAGACTCTTTGACTCACATAGACATTTTCCCCTATAGAGACAGAAAGGGGATTGGTCAAGGAGAAAATGCTAAACAGACCAGAAGACAGTTTGTAAACATATCCCCCGGGGCCAGCAGATGGTATAATGGTTATGTTGCTGGACTCCCATATGGTTGACCACAGTTTGAGGCCCAGACCCATGGCTTAAACTCATGCCAGGTGCATGTGTGTGCATGCCCAAAATCCCGAGAAGAGAATGGAGGAAAAGAGATTGCAGCATGGCCGTCCCAGCTGGGGGGTGATTTTTCCCTTTCTGTCTCTCTGCTTCTCTCTGGTGAGTGCATGTTCCCTATAGAAAAATCTCTCTCACTCGCACACAAAATCCCCCCCCCATTGGCTGTAATAAAGCAGGAAAATACCTACTGGTCCAAGTGGACAAGGAGGCCACGTCGAGAACGCAGACCCTCTGTCCGTGGCTCCCGCACAGAGGCGTGCTGTGGGGTTTTTTGTGGTGCTGGCCCTGACCTTGGGCTTCCTAACAGGGTTAAGGCTACACTGTTCATGCTCATCCCTGATTCTTTGGCATCTCAGAAAGAAAAATGGCAGAAGACCAAATGGACAAGCCAAGAGAAACATTTAAAAAATGTGTGCGTGGCTCGTGCCAGGGGCCTTTATGGCTGATACGTGTTTTACTTCCTGCCCTGTCCATGTGACAGTAAGAACCCCCTTTTAGAAACATTACTGTACAGCCGCAGACACCTCATGTCTCTGGGCGGATTACAGAGAGGATAACAATGTGATTTTTCTTGGTTCCTCCTTCTCTTTATAGATTGTGAAATTGAGAAAGTCGATCTTGTTTTCCTCATGGATGGTTCAAATAGCATTCACCCAAGTGACTTCCAGAAGATGAAGGAATTTTTGGCCTCTGTGGTTCAAGATTTTGATGTCACCCTCAACAGAGTGCGGGTGGGCGTGGCCCAGTTCAGCCACACCTACCGCCCTGAGTTCCTGCTGGGCGCCCACACAGGTGGGGAGGAGGTGTCCGCCCGGATTGCAGGCATCCAGCAGATCTTCGGGTACACGCACATCGGCGCCGCACTCTGGCAGGTGGGCCACTACTTCCGGCCCGATGCGGGCAGCAGGATCAATGCAGGTACCCCCCAGGTGCTGCTGGTCCTCACTGACGGCCAGTCCCAAGACGACGTGGCTCAGGCCGCCGAAGACCTGAGGCGCAGAGGCGTGGACATCTACACCGTGGGCATCGGGGACGTGGACGATCAGCAGCTTGTCCAGATCACTGGGACGGCGGAGAAAAAGCTGACAGTGCACGACTTCGACGAGCTGAGGAAGGTCAGAAGAAGGATCGTCCGCAACATCTGCACGGCGGGCGGTGAGAGCAGTAAGTATTCACTGAGTTCTTCACACGCCTCCCGGCCCACCGTCACCCCCTTGTTCTTCAACCCCCATCACACCCCGGGGCTGGGGCAGAGCTAGATCCGGGCCTCGAGACCTCAAGCTCGACTTCTCGCAGTTACCGAGTTTGGTGACCTGGGAACTAGAAACAGCACGTTCGAGGTCCCGTGTCTTCTCTCCTCCCTCTCCTGAGGGACCATGCTGCCTTGTGAAGGGGGACGCCTCTACTCGCCGTGTTCGGTCAGGTGGGTCAGGTGGGTCCCGGAGGCTGGAGAGCTCGGCTCCCAGAAATGACCCCCTCGAGCTTTGGTTGCCTGGCAGTAGAGCCCACGGGGCTCCGAGGGCTGTGGTACCGGTGGGTGGGAGCTTCCCTCGAGCTTTACATCCTGTTCTTTGTGCTCAGGGGTACGTGCACTCACCAGAGAGAGACAGAGAAAGAGAGAGAGGGGAGAGGGGAAAGCACCCCCTCCCATAGGGCGTGGTCATGCCACAATCTTCTCTCCCTTCTTTCAGGGTTTTGGGCACACACACGCACGCACGCGCACACACACGCACACACACGCACATGCACAGACGGTGTGATTCTCAAGCCACTGGGTCGGGGACTCGAACTGCACAGTTGGCCATGTGGAGTCCGGCTGCCTTAACCATGAGCTGCAGAGCCAGCCCTGTATCTTTTTCTTCAAGTTAATCTATTTCCCCCATGAGAGAGGACAGAGGTGGACAGAGAAATCTAGTTCCCCATGAGAGAGGACAGAGGTGGACAGAGAAATCTAGTCCCCCATGAGAGAGGACAGAGGTGGACAGAGAAATCTAGTTCCCCATGAGAGAGGACAGAGGTAGACAGAGAAGTGGGGAGAGAGCGAGAGCACCCCGTCCAGGCCCTCACACTGGGGCCCACCCTCAGTCCGAGCCACCAGGATCGCGGGTCCCTGTGCGCACATCGGCCTGCTCAGAGAGGCCCGAGGACCGGACCCAGGCCCCCTCCCAGGCCAGCCCCGCTGTGCCACCTTGGGGCCCAGTGGTGTGCATCTTGGCTATGAGACTTTACCACAGAAGTCAGTAAATAGCTTCTTTAAAATGAGCGCGTTTTGCGATTCTTGCTGACAGATGGAAGAAAGTGTGGTGAGCAAGGGGTGACGTTTTTGGTTCGGGTGGCGGTGAGCTGTGTGACTACCGAGCCCTTGAGAGGCCGTTCTGGACAGACCCTTGGTCTGCAGCCGGCTTTCTTAGACGAGGTGTCCAGCGTCTCTGTTTCCTGTTCTCACCCACGAAACGTCAGGCTCGCAGCGCCGAGTCCGGGAGACCGCGGCCAGGGCCGGAGCAGGTGCATCTTTAAACCTCTCTTTGTACCGCGTGGCCCTGGGGTGGCCGGAGTCACTTCATTGCGCCTGCCGACCCCACGGGCTTTCACAAGGGCTGCCTCTCCCTGCCCCTCGTCACTTCGTAGGGAAAAACGCTTCTCTGGATGGTTAATACGTCCATCCTGTGCACCGGGTGAGACTTCACTCCATGCCAGGCTACCCACTGTCCCAGCTGCCGTCGGCTGCCTGTCCGTGGTGACAGAGAACCTGTCACGCTCCCTGTCTTCCCCACTGTCCCAGCTGCCGTCGGCTGCCTGTCTGCGGTGACAGAGGAGCCGTCGCGCTCCCTGTCTTCCCCCACTGTCCCAGTGGCCGGGGGCTGCCCGGCTGCCTGTCTGCGGTGACGGGAGACCTGTCACACTCCCTGTCTTCGCCCAGTGTCCCAGTGGCCGTTGGCTGCCCGTCCATGGTGCCTGATTAGGGACCACTAACCTGCCTCAGGGTCTCCCCACACTTTGGAATGTGTTTGATGACCTCAGCCAAACCTCCCACATTCGTTTTCTGTTCCACACGAAATACCCATTGCCAAAGATTAGGCAGAAAACTGTCTTAAAACCATCTAGTTTCTCCTTTAGAGCATGGAGAAAGATGTGGAAAGTCAAAAACAGAAGTATAGACTCCGAGTTCGGAGTCATCTTTAAAGAAAACAGGCATGAATGTAAAAAATACATAAAGATGTTTTAAAAACAAGGAAAGAGCTTTGTATTAAGATAAACTTGAGGCCATTACTCCAGCAAGCAAGAATGCGAGGCCTCGGCCGGCCAAGCTGCGAGCGGAGGGCGGATGAGGTTGGAGTGAATGCTGATAGGGCTTCAAAGGCTGTGCAAATGCAGCGCAGGTCGCCAGTTCTTAAACCACGAACCCGCATCAGGGGAGGCAGACAGTAGCTTGGTGTGGCGCGAAGCAGACTGAGCTCGGCCTGGACGTGTGTTCCGCTTCTTATCCAAGTACGCGGAACCCTGGGGAACGCACCCTGCGTTCTTGTTCGTGAAGTGCCACGACCTCAGAGCGTCCCTGATTCCGCGTCTGGGAAAGGGAGGTCCCAGCACAGACACGGGCATGACCGAGCATCTCTGACGGTCACACCTGAGGCTCCAACCACGTTTCCTTTTTCCTTATTTGTCATTTGCCAGAGGGTGTGCGCTCTCCAGAGAGAGGGAGAGAGACAGGAGGAAGGTGCAAAGCACCCCGTGGATGGTCACACCTCTGTCCTCTTGCTGCCATCTCTCTGTCCTTCCAGGTTTCGTGCACACACGCATACGTGCCTGGCGTGGTTTGCAAGTCACCACATTCAGGACTCGGACCGTGTGGTCAGCTATGAGGGAGCAGCTCGCATAACCACCAGGCCGTGGGCTAGCCCTAAACACATGACTTCATGTGACTCCCAGCATCACATGGCTGATGTTGATATTTTCACTTATAAATGAATGTGGAAACGGGGACTCGGGATAGTGAGTCCCGGCTGTGTGGCTGCCTGGTCCAGGTCACGCAGGATGTAGCCTGAGCACACATCGAAACCTGGGTCTGTCCGACCCCGGCGGCCGGCTCGCCATTTCTCTGCTGTTGTTAAATTAAGCTGTTTTCTTGAAATTATTGTCTGGGTTATCTGATGTAGACATTATGAGGAACCAGGGTCTAAGTGTTGTGTCTCACCCATTAATAACTGGAGCTTATTAAAACATCATCTGTAATATATGAATATGCATTTAGGAGAGATTTTTTGGTATAGGGTGTGTGCGCTTGTCAGAGAGACAGAAATGAGAAATCACCCCCGGGGGATGGTCATGCTGCAGCCCCTTCATTCTCCTCTCAGGATTCTGGGCATGCACGCAGACGCACATGGCATGAGTTCTAACCCACCTGGCCCGGCACTCGAACTGTGGTTAACTACGTGGGAGTCCAGCGACATAACCATTACGCTGGTCCCAACCCCACCACGTTTTACATTAAAGTGCTTTCTCAAGTATCTCAGTCTTCTAACCTTAGGAATCTAGCTAGCCTCTAGACAGCACCGTACGACCTGCGTCCTCCCCAGTTACGGGCTTTCTGTGTGCACCAGATAATTAAAATCAGCCTTTGGCCCTGGCGGAGAACAATGCGACCGCAACTCTCTTGCAACTCTTTTCTGACCCTCTGTATTTTCATTTCGAAACACATAATCCCATTGTTTTTATTGACAAGGAAATTAGCACCGAGAGAGGTTAGAAGATTTACCTACAATAGCGGAGCTGCCACCAGCACAGGACGGAGACTGAACTGGCCGTCTTCCCACTCAGACCCCCGCCCCAGGCTCCCACGCTGCTGCTTGGAGGGCTGGAAGGCTCGGACCACCCCTGCACTTCTTTGAATCACCCTCTGCGGGCTGCGGGCTGCCCTCTTACTTTTCCTGGCGTTTAGCCTCTTTTCTATTCCCACTCCAGTTATCCTAGTTTAATTTAAACTATTTCTTTGGAAATCCATTGTCAGCCTCCTGCCCCACTCACCTCCACGGCTGTGCCTCCCTCCTGCCCCGCTCGCCTCCACGGCCCTGTCTGCCTCCTGCCCTGCTCGCTTCCACGGCTGTGTCTGCCTCCAGCTAACTCTGTCGCTACTGGCAAGTTCACTGTCAAGTCTGACCTCTGTCGCGGCAGACGCCAGTGAAGGGCTCCTGGCTGAAGGGCAGCTGCCCAGGAGTGTGCAAGGCCATTTGTCACATGAGGGCCTGTGTGACCGTCGGCCTGGTCTCTAACTGCATTTGGGTGTCTGCTCGCCGACTCTGGGCTTTTCCTCCAGATGACATTCCTTTGGCCACATGCTTACTGGCCAGCATGTATTAAACCCAAGGAGCTTATTAAATGGCGCTTGTGCTTTCAGCAATCTAGACCAAGGCTTAAAATACTCCGTGTTTTTGAGTGACTCTTTGTCACTTTGGCATTTCTGCCGATGTTTGTTATTTTTCACAAGAGCTTGTTTACTCTGAAGGCAATAACATACTTTGGTTGCTGATTAGTTTTTTCGTTCACAGGTTAAAACAATGTTCATCTCAGGGTAATTTATTTTATTCTATTACTATTTCAATTGGATTTATACATTCGGTCCCTGTACATCACTACAGCTTGTAAAATGAATTCCCCACCGTGAACCCACTGCCCACCAATCCGGTTGAAGATATCATGCTTGGTACCTACAGACATTCTTACATTTCCGTGTTCCTCAAATGCCCTGCCTCAAGGTAAAATTTTTAAACTCAAGATAGACATAAGAAAACATAGATTCCAGAGAAATTTTGGAAAATGGTATGGTGCTTCCTTCTAACTCACTTTCTGAATATCCAAAAATGGATATTTCAATGTAGTAAAATAGATTAAAATAAGAAGGCCATCCTTTCCAGTGTTTTTGATAACATATTGATGTACCTTAAATCTCACGATGAAGATTGATTATCAAGTAAGGCTTTTATTTTCCCTCACCCAACTCTCCTCTTATTAAAAATGAACCAGCTTACCAGCCCTTGTTTCGAGAATTGCAACTGACATTTTGATTTCAAAGACTTGCAAATATCCAATTGACTGATGTGTCTGGGAAGTGGTGTAGACAGGCATTTATCCACACAACAAATATCTGAAATACTGCTAATCTAAACAAAGCAAATTAAAAATAAACATTGTTTATTTATCAAGCAAGCTGTATGTGTTGAATCTGGTGAAAAGGGTTAGAGTTCTAGCTATGTTAAAAATTCTTGAAAGAAGAGTACATGACGGGACCAGCAGTTAGCGTAATGGCTATGTCGCTGGACTCCCACGTAGTCGACCGCGGTTCGAGTCCCGGACCCGGTGGCTTGAACTCACGCCGGGCGCGTGTGCGTGCGTGCCCAAGATCCCGCGAGGAGAATGGAGGAGAGGGGATTGCGGCGTGGCCATCCCCCCTGGGGGGTGATTTCCTGCTTTCTGTCTCTCTGTCTCTCTCTGTCTGTCTGGCGAGCGCACGCGCCCTATAGCAAAAACCTCTCAAAAAAAAAAAAAAAAAAAAAAGAGTACATGTGTCCTAAGACGAACTTGCTCTAATTATCGGCCCTTAGGAAGCTCGGCTTCAACTACCAAGCCCCTTCTTAGTTTTTTCAGTGCTTAAATTTCCCTGGAGTTAGTAAGAACAGGAGTTAAGCACTTTAAGAGTAACACCTCTTCAAATATTTCTAGACAGGATCAGCAGGTGGCATGGTGGTTAAGGCACTGGACACTCCCTTGCAGCTGATGGCAGTTTGAGTCCTGGACCTGGTGGCTTGCTTTCTCACTTTCCCTATCGTACTCTCTCTCTGTCTCTCTCTGGTCAAATTTAAATAAATAAACGAATAAATAAAATACAATATATATTTCTAGAACCCCAAGTGGCAATGTCTTTGGCTTCTTGAATGGCTGAACTCCTGAAGGCAGCGCTGTCTTAGGTTGAATATGGATGATTCGTTTCCCAGTGTTTTCACTCACAGTACTTAAACCAAGCAAGATCTCAAAGAATCTCTCTGACTTTTTTTGACTGAATGTAAAAGACAAAAAGAGACATCAGAGACCCTTTTTAGAAAGATAAGTCATCAAAACATCAAAAATATTGTTTAGGCAAGTCCTTGGAAATTTTTTCTAAATTACTTTATTCCTGTGTTCTTAAACTTCCCTTATAATTATTAAATGTAATATTTGTGGAATGGTCTCAATTGATAAGCAGCGTGTTATAAATTTCTGGTTTGGGACTATTAACCTCTCCACAGTGTGCCCGCGACTCTGCATGACTCCCAATGGCCGCAGTAAGGCTTGCAGAACTTCCGTTCTAGAATCATCCACATTACACCAGCTGAGAAAACAGTGATGTTTACTTACACCTTTACAGATTTAGAAAGTATTTGGAGCCTCTTCCTTTATTTACTCATGCCCTTCCTCGTTTCCCACCTTCTTACTGGAATGTAGTTAAGGATTCCAAGTCTCTTGACCCAGACACAGCATCCGAGTCAAACAGAGGTGTTGTTGGTTTAATCAGACATGCTTTTCCCTTGATTCCTAGATTGTTTCATGGATGTTGTGGTGGGATTTGATGTCTCCACTCAGCAGAAAGGACAGACCTTGCTGGAAGGTCAATCCTGGACGAAAACCAACCTTCAAGATACCTTACGTGCCATCAGCTCTCTCAATGGAGTGAGTTGTGAGGTGGGCACGGAGATTCAGGTTAGTGTCGCTTTCCACGTGACCAACGCCATGGAAAAATACTCTCCCAAGTTTGAGATCTACAGCGAAGACATACTGAACAGCTTGGCGGGCCTAACAGTTAGAGGACCGTCTCTTCTCGACACAAACCACTTGAGTTCTCTGTGGGACGCGTTTCAGAATAAATCGGCGGCTCGAGGAAAGGTAGCATGCTTTTATCTGATCTCGTCGTCTGTGCTTCCAGTGAGCCCCATTTTACTCATTTTCTTCTTTTCTCTAAATGCTTTCCTAGGTGGTCCTTTTATTTTCAGATGGATTGGATGACGATATTGAAAAACTTGAACAAAAATCTGATGAGCTTAGAAAAGAAGGTACTGAATGTGGGAGAGGAATGGAGAAGAAAGGTTACTGGCTTAGTCGTTTCCGAGCTCGGTCTGGCTTTGAGAGTGTCCAGGCACTCAGTAACCTGAGTCTGACCGTCTCCGTGCTCCGCGTCCATGGCAGGGCGACGGGCCCTCAGACGTTCTCACGTCTACTCCCCTCACGCCCTGCGTGGGCCAGCAGCACTGAGCACTCCCCTGCCCCCCTTCTCCTTGTTACTGTCTGACTTCTCCCCAGCCTTTTCAAGACATTATTTCTCTCTCCCTTGCCCCACGTTACCTAATTTTGATACCTCTTTAGTGTTAGGAAAAGTAAAAAGGGGGCTTCAAAAAGTTAATGGAAAAATTGGAATTAAAATACGGGTTTATTTTGGTGCAAAAACATTGAAGTCCGCATCTGTTTTTGCATGATTCACATTGTCCATGAATCTTCTGGCCATCCTTCATATCCCTCCTTAACCATGGAATGGGAGAGCTGGATTGTTGTCTCTAACGCTCTTCATATCTCCAGGGTTGCAAGCATTGTTGGACGAGTTCACTCATGTTTGGGGCTTTCTAATCAGTTCCCTCCTCCAGACCACAGATGGACTAGCCACAGTGTTTATGAGTTTTTGAAGTTCTGGCACCAGGCCTTGGGAGCCAGGGACCAGTCCGAACCTTCAGTCCTTACTAAAATGTGGGTCATGGAGGCCAAATACCTCCATGTGTTCCGGGTTAATGGAGAGTAGAAACAGCCCCTGGATGCGGTGCTGCTGGTGCAGGCCTACCCCCTTTCCCAGGCACCCGTCCTGCAGGTGTTGTGGGTGCTCTGAACCTCACAGCTTACTCCACCCTGAAGAGCTGCCCTTGGCCAGTGAGAGCCAGCCAAAAAGTTTTCTGACTTAATGGAAAAGTAAAGGTCTTTATTTCAGCCTTTATTTACGAAAGCTGCCTTTTCCTTATTCCATCAACTCTTGGCCTTTGTCTATAAGCTATAATAGCGATTTTAAGACTGAGAGCAAGACCCTAAAGTGCTTAGTCTGGGTGAGTAATTTGTTTTGCTTTGCTTCAGCTGTGTGTGTGGGAAAGGTGTATCTCTTGCAGACAGCATCAGGATTTCCTCCAGGAAATTCTTTGGAATATCCAAAATTCTAAGACTAATCCTCTTTGTCCCAATTCCCACTGAAAACTAATAAATGAATATCAACTTCAGAAGCTAGATTTTGAATGATATACTCACAAATTCAAGATCTTTCAATGGTAAAGGAAGATAAAGATAAAGAAATAATAGCCATAATGTTCTTTGAAAAGTAGTAGAGGGACAAAGTTAATATAGACAGGGGTCGCCTCCAGCCTGGCTTTCATATTTAAGCATGATTCCAGCTGCTGTTGGGTCCTGTGATCTGTTGACCTCGGAGAGCCTCCCTAATCGAATCCCAGTATCTGTACTGATAAGCTATTACCGTGTAGTCACTGTGGAACAAGAGGAGACAAAGACGAATGGACCCTGGAGGGCCAACGTGGTCAACGTGGATTTATAACTTACCCATGCGAATTGGGGCTGAGATTAGTTTGTTCATCTGAAATTCATTTGTTCATTTGAAATCTAGTATCCTAGAATCTACTCAGTGATCTTTTTCCCATCCGATGTGTGTGCTGGCCAGAGAGAAGGATCCTTCTCTTCCATCCTCTCCAGACGTTGGACACTCATACACGTGCACCTGGTGTGGTTTTCAAGCTGCCCAGTTCAGGGCTAGAACAGCAGTCAGCCATGTGGGGATTCAGTGCCTTAATCACCACGGCACCTGCTGGCCCCGAGTCCTCCTTTCCTTCAAAGTTGACCTTTTTCCACAGGAGAGACAGACAGACACAAGCACTCTCAGGAGGCTCGTACCCCAAGCCCTCCTCAGCCAGCCAAGATCACAAGCACACAGCCAGCCTGGACCAGTCGGCTCAGTGACCAAACCCCCGCCTTCCACGGGGCCCGCAGAATTTTAGAGCATCGTGTTACCACTGTGCCACTGCGACTGGACCCGAGTGATTCTCTGTTCTCTCAGCTTTTGACGTCTTTTCTTCTTCTATTCATTTTTAGGAACTGAAGATATTGTCTTTAAGATTATATGACTTACTTATTAGCTGAGTCTGAAAGCAGGAGGATCGAAGTCCCCTATCCGCAGAAAAGCAGTCATGACTAACAATTACATGCCTATTTCCTGCAAGCCAGCAGTCCCATGGTTCTCACAACTGTTACATTTTTACATTTCCCCAAATTTATAAGAGAAATCAGATGTGAGATTTCCCCTTATAGCTAGACCATTAGCACGCCTTCTCAATTACTAGACAGTAGTTGATGTACACAGCCGTTGCCTGTCCCAGCCCAACCTGCAACCTCTTTCCTCCCCTCCTCAGTCTCAGTCTAGAAGGGTGACCAGTTGTCCCGGTTTCTTGATATAATTAGGAACTTCAGCAACAGAACTAGGAGGGTCCTAGGCAAACGTGCACATGTTGGTTACCCTGCTCTTTGGTGGTTCTTTGATTCCACTCAGCCAGCCACGCTGTTTCCCTTCCCTGGAAAACGAGCCTCTCCAACATATCCCTGAAACTTTTTAAAGTCTCTTTCTCCCATGAGTGTGAGAGACAGAGACCCGACATGGCCTTCATGTCACGATCCACTCCAGCTTTAGTCAGCCCGAATTGCAGACATGCCTGAGACTTCTGAGAAGTCTCCAGAGACAAACAGGAGCCTCCCATGTGGATGGACCCCAGGGGATGCCATTTCACCATCTGGCTCCGTTTCTGAAACATTATTCCCATGTTCTCTTCATTCATCCGTCACTTCATTCAAAATTATGTCACATGAACGTACATAAGAAGTATTCTTCACTCGCAGCCAAGCCTGAGTGTTTCTTTATGTACTCTAGTTCATTAGTACTCAAATCCCATCCAAAAACTCTACCATCCGTAATAAAATGAGAAAGCTCATGCCCGTCAAGTCAGGTGTCCAACAAACCAGATGTTCTCCACTGTAAGACTGTGCTTCGTTTCGTGGTTATCTCCTTAGTATGTCTTGTTGTTAAAATATCTTTGGATGTAGGTTTTGGATTTGAACTGTCCTGGTGAAAACCTAAGAACACCACCCAATCAGCTGTGGGATTTCTCCAAGCCTCAGCATCTTTGTCTGTGAAACACGGCGATAGTCTTACCTAAAGGATTATATTTGTGTCTTGCAAACAAAATAATGTTTGTAAAGCACTTAACTAACTTCCAAGCACATAGTGACTATGAAAACATGATAGCACTTAGTTGCTATGGTTACCTCCACCATAATGGTTGCAAAATTAAGTCATAGAAAGCCCTATGTCAGTCCCTGAAAGTTTTCTTAGAAATATTCTTACCCACAAAGCCCCAAAACCTAGAACCACAGCTCTGGGTGACTTTGTTTTCTAAGGGTTTTCTTTTTTCCTTTTCTTTTTGAGAGACTTGCTTTGGGCACGTGTGCTCGCTGGAGAGACAGAAGGCGAGAAATCACCCCCCAGGGAGGTTGGCCACACAGCAATCCCTTCTCCTCCATTCTCCTCTCGGGATCTTGGACACGTGCACACGCATCCAGTGTGAATCTTAAGCCACTGGGTCCGGGATTTGAACCGTGGTCAACTATGTAGGAGTCCAGCAATCTAACTATTATGCCATCTGCTGGTCCCCAACCTGGGGGTTTTCTTAAAATATAGATTCTAATTCAGTAAATGAGGAATGGGGCCTGAGATTTTGTATTTCTTTTTCTTTTTTTTTTTTGGAGAGGTTTTCACTATAGGGCGCGTGTGCTCGCCAGACAGACAGAGAGAGACATAGAGACAGAAAGCAAGAAATCACCCCCCGGGGGGATGGTCACGCCGCAATCCCTTCTCCTACATTCTCCTCTTGGGATCTTGGGCACATACGCACACGCGCCCAGCGTGAGTTTTAACTCACCGGGTCCGGGTCGCGAACCACAGTTGACTATGTGGGAGTCCAGCGACATAGCCATTACATTAACTGCTGGTTCCCGAGATTTTGTATTTCTGATACACCCCCAGGTAATGCCACACTCTTGCTCCAAGGCTCTCCCAGGGAGTGGCAAAAATGCACAATTACTTTCTGATATGTGAATTCCTTCTTTACTTTAGCATGAACCATGAACCTCTATAAATAATAAAATAATGAATATTAATACATTTAAATTAAAAGACAATTTTAAAACATGAAGTGACCAGACCCGCCTCACCTGGGGATCACAACCTGTGTTGCCTAGGCCTGAATGCCCTCCTCACTGTCGCTCTGAATGGCGCTGCGGCCTCCAGTGACCTGGGCGGGCTTGTCTACATTGAATTTGGGAAAGGCTTCGAATACAGGACCCAGTTCACTATCGACATGAGGGATCTTGGGAGCCAACTGTCCAAGCATCTGGTAAGTTATTCAGAGAAGACTGGTGAGTTTAAATTTTCAGTGGTTTTATAGATAGGTTTAATATTTGTGCTTATGAACTGGAACTAATTCTCTTCATTTTCACACGAAGAAAACTAGTTCCAATGCGTAAGCTTTCGGGAATTAGTGAAGAGCCCAAATAAGCAGGTGTTTGAAAGAAATGTAGTACAGTGTAGCTATTTCAAAGCACGTTCAATTTACATGCTTGGCAAAGAGGAGGAAGAAGCAAAAGGAATAAGGAGGAAAAAGAAGAAAAGCATTTTAATAGCACCTATAGCCCGCCCACACAACAGTCCCTGAACAGTGTCAGAACCTGTGCTGGGCAACGCCAGTCAGTGGGCCGGTTTTCACATCCCTTGTAGACCCAGACATCACAGCTACCAGACTGTATTCTAGCATGTAAGATGGGTCCTTCCCTGCCACGAGGCCTGCACATGAAGCAAACCGCGTGTGGGTGCCACCAAGGAGCACTCTGCCCCAGTGCTGGAGTGAAGTGGTGGTGGGGACCTGCTGTGTCGTGCTTTAAGAGCGAGTGAGAGATTTCTAAGGGAGGCTCACCCTGATATTTTCACAGGTGTTCTACTTCTAGAGCCGAACACCTATATAAGATGCATCTCAATAATATTCCTTTCAGAAAGATACAATAGCTCCAACCCAAGGCGAGGTGTTACCACACTACGTGACGCTGGCTTTACTTTAATGAATGGCTGAATATTTATATATTGCTTATCATCTGTAAATCTACAATCCGTATATGAGAATTGTTTCTTCTCTCTTCTTTCTTCCTTCCTTTTCTTTTTTCTTCTTCCTTTTTTACTTTCTTTATTTTTTCTTTTTAATCACCAGAGAGCTGCTGCACTCACCAGAGGACGGGGGAGACAGAGAAAACGGCCCAGGGGGGTGTGGTCATGTCACACTCCCTTCCCTCCACTCCTCCTTCCCCCCAGGATTTTGGACATCTGGGGTGTACACACATCTAGTGTGCTTTTCAAGCCACCAGGGCCAGCATTCGAACTGTGACCAGCCCTGTGAGCACCGACTGCCTTTGTCTGGGCTTACCCACTGTGCCACTGGGCTGGCCACGAGAACGATTCCCAATAGTATGCTGGATTTTATATGTGAATAATATCTAAACAGTTTGTTCCACGTAGTAGTTATATGAAAATAATTACTAAAATAATGTGGAAGCTTTGCTGGAAGTCTTTTCCTACATGGAAAGATAGTATTTATTTTACAAAATATATTTTTTTGGTATATTGCTCTTAGAAATAATTCATGGAGGAAAGTTATTCTTCAAAACGAACCTGTATTTTTGTAGATACTACATAAATGAAACACTGTAAGAAAAACGTCATGAGTTTTAGAAGTAGATCAATTTGAATATTATTAGTATTATTACTATTGAACCCAATAGTAGTGTAATGGATTTTATGCTATAGGATTGTGATGATCAAAAAATGGTCTTACCTAATATAAAGCCATGGAGTGCATTTAGTTGTTCCTGTTAGATTTCACACATTTCTAGCTTTCTTGATTTTTCTGAAATGTTTAGACAAATGCGACAATAATATCGGAAAAGGGTATTATCTAAGAGGAAACAAAGTGAGAAGTCACTAAGTGGTTAGAACAAAAGATTTCCGTTTTCTACATCATGCTAAATGTGTAAAGAGCCATTTCATAATAAAGAGATTGACCCTACTCTGCCGAAGTGAAGCACAGCCTTCAGTAGTGCCATTTCCCTAAACACAGCTCTGGCGGGGTAATCATAAAAACGCAGTACACTGTGTCAGCTACTCAGGGAACGGCTGGCTGAGCCTGGGAAGAAATTCACTCACATTGCTGAGTACGAATGTGGGCTTCGTGGCCAGAGCGTGAAGAGGACGGCACTTCCCATGCCCCCGCTCTACAGCGAGTGATTGTAAAATGTTGGACATGTCACTGGTGTTTTCGAAATTCCATCAGATGTGTTTTGGAAGTGTGTACCATTGGACCCTGTTCCAAGCAGTTATGTTGGCACCGTCCAAACCCTCGAGCAAACTAAGATTTCACAGAATGGAAGGCATGTGTCCCTTTCATTGAACAAAGCATTATGGCGGAATGATACAGAGCAGTTAACAGCACCGTGGTCACCGCAAGGGTGGGGTGGCACTGCACTGGCACCCACAGTAATGCGTCGGTACGCAGTGAGCTGGTTGTGGCTAACCTGAACCATCTTGAGAACACAAAAGCATGTGGGGGTTGCTCTGGGATTCCTCAAATGGTGGAGGATACAAATCACAGAAAACAAGTAGTCGGAGGGTGGCCTGCGTTCCCTGCGGCCCGCACGTTACTGGGGGTCGGGCTCCTAGAACTGGCGTGGGAGGCTGGCCCACGGCATGGAGCTGCTACGTGTGGCTCGGAGCAGTGCCGTCACTGTCAGGTGTCCCCCCAGGTCAACGTGGCCGAAAGGACCTGCTGCTGTGTGTTCTGCAAGTGCACCGGAGGAGATGGCTCGGCGGGGGACCCTGGACCCCCTGGGAAAAGGGTGAGCGCGTCGGATGGACGGTGTCCTGGGTTTGGAGTGCCGCGTATCGCTCAGACCTGGGTTTAGGTAGAAGTAAGGGCGATTTCATCCCTAGAGAGATTGCAGGGGGAACTGTATTCCGCTCCTCTTTCTGCGTGTCAGGTTAGTCATGGGTTTCCCCTGGTGTTCTAAACTTGCGTCTTCTTAGAGGTTTTTCAAAGTCCGAGGAGAAACACTCGCCAAGACCCCAGTGTTCTGGCAGCGGTGGCAGCGCTGCAGGGACGCCAGCTGCGGTTGCTCACGCAGAATCCGCAGGCCTCCTCGAGGCCGGTAACTCGTTCCGGCTTCCATGTTTAATCGTGGCAGCCATCAAGATCACGTAGAGCATGTTCCCGGTGCACGGCTGAGAACCGGGGCAGGTCAGAGCGCGCTGCCGTGGCCACATGTTAGAACCCTGCACCCTGCCGCAGCCCGCGCAGACACTGCCACACACACAGACGCAGTTATGGAGGAGTAGAAAGCAGCCGCATCGAGTCCTGTACCCCCCAGCCCCACACAGTCCGTGCACCCGTATGTAGAAACGCTGTCTGGGACTTCAGGAAACGTTCGCACGTGTGTAGGCATGTCCTGCATCTGTTTAATGATGACTTCGGTGCTGCCGTTTACATGTGTGTTTATTTTTGCATAGTTTATGGATAGCACTGTAACACCCGCGCCACCAAGGCTGTGTCTCCGAAGAAAGGTTTTACACTAATTATTCCCTGAAAGCTTCAATTTCACATAAAACGAGTGTTATGTGAAACTCAGAATGAACGGAAAGAAATGTGTTTGGTCTATTTTTCTATGTGTAGCACAAATCCCCCCAAAAAAGTATTTTTTTTTTATGAAAAAAGGATAATTCTAGCCTGTCAGGAACAAATCTATCCGTGTTTGCTTGAACGTTTGTTTGGAAAGAAACCCCAGTGCTCGCTGCATAGACCCAAAGAGGTCCAGCCACGGATGAACCAGAACAGGCTGGCTGAGACTGCTATAGGCAGAAGCCACACGCAAGACCCAGGTTCAGCTCCCAGCCAGCCTGGGAAAAAGAAAATAAAGAAACAGAGAAGCAGGCATGGTGGTATGCTCCTTTAGTCTCAGCTGCTTGGGAGGCTAAGGCAGAACGATGATGAAAAAGACTCTGTCTTAAAAAAAGAAAAAGTTCACAGGGTCACAGGCAATCTCATATTCACACACAGCCTCGAGTTATCTGGGTTCAAATCTCAGATTCCATGTCTTTCTACGTGAGTAAATGTAACTCAGATCGGGGAGGGAAGGCTATTGTTTTCTTTCTTTCTTTTTTTTTTTTTAGAGGTTTTTTTTTTTTTTTTTTTT